AGAAAAAAAATCAAGAACTCTAACCTAAAGTTAAACATTTCAAAGGGGAACTACTTCTATGTAAAAACGTGTACTTAATAACATAAACATTTCTGGCTCTGCCACACCAACTCACACTTTCAGGCGAGTTTACCTTCGAGTTTGACACGTACGACTGTCCTAACAATGACCGCTCAGTCTGTCGGAGACTGGATATTCCTGAAGCTATTGTCTCCAACGAGATCACCTTGCAAACCACCGTAGAAGTTGTTGATGACGCAAAGGACAGCCCTAGGTAAAACTGGGTAGTTTCAAAATTTTCTGCTTTCACCCAAGAATATTTTACCAACTCGCTTGAAGAGGTCATTGTGGCTTGACACCAATTTTATGAAAGTTTTTTAATCAAAATGAGATCTGTTCCTTCGAAAAGAATATTTTTCTTTATTTTGTTGGTTCTTATGTCGAGGTGTGGAGTTCAATATGTTTAGCACATCCCAACTTTAGTTAATCTTGCAGAGTTGCACCAGTTTTTATTTTCTTCCCCTGTGCCTTGTTTGACTTCCTGGATAAGTGCATGCATTAAGTTGACATTGTTGCTCTCCTCAGGGTTTACTTGAAGAAGGTGCATGGATCGGACCCAACCGTGGACATCAGGGGTGGGGTTCCGCCTGGCGTGTCTCATCTTGAAGCAGTCACTGTGGAGACCCATTTCTTCCCGCTCTTCCTGAGAGACGAGCTTGAAATGGAATTGACATTGTTTATGGTGTGCATTGGCTCTGAATTTAACTCTGGCGATGTAAGTAAAAAATGCACGAGTGCTTAGCAAATCTTGGCATTGTGTAATTTTAGGTCAGAGAACTTCAAAGATGAAAGCTGTTTACTATGTTGAACAGATACACGTTTGAATCTGTAACGCATAGCAGTTCCAAGGTAACATTGTTCACAAGCTGGCAGAGGTGATGAGGATAAGTAATTTTAGTGCCCACTCTAGCACTGGTGGTGAGAGAGAAGAGACCAAAAGTCAGTAGGGAGTGAAAGTTTTCTGGAGTGGGCCACTATTCACACATTCCAACATTCTTCGACAGGGCTGTCTGACTTCATCCCCAGAGAACTCCTACACAGCCTATGTCTCGCCAAATTTCTTCTACCGTCTGTACACTGCTCCGGAGGCCTTCACCGATCTCTTTGCTGACGACATAGCCACTTCTACTCAGGTGAGGGCTCAGAAGGAATAGGAAAATCCCGGCTCTTCTGGAAACTCCTAGGAATGTGGTTCTGAAGTTCTGTTTTCTCTTAAGGCTGCAGGTTTGCTGAAAACATTTGGAGGAAAGTTAAACTCTTGTAGCATTTTGACTGTGAAATGAATTGAAATATTTGTAGCAGATTGCAAATTGATGGATTTGGAAGACCACATTAACTACCATCTATCCAATGGCATTACTGAAGGTCGGTTTGGGGCTACACTCTCTTTGCTTGAGACTTGCGCTTGCTTGTCTCATTAACCACCCTGCTTTAAAAGATTTTTTTTGGGCAAGGCCCCTATTAATACACTACAATGTATTGACTGCCCCCTCCAGAAAATGGGGCCTTGGAAGTTCTCTGTCTGCAAATTTGGCCCCACTGGCTTACCACCAGTGGCAGTAAGGTAGTTGGTGCCCCGCCCCCAATTTTTTGCTTAAGGAAATGCCTCACCCACTTTTGGCAGCTCCCAAAATGGGAACAGAGCTTTATGGATCAGTTAATGGCTGATGCTTTCATAAATGCCCCCCTCCCATTTGGAAATCATTTTCCACTTCTGTTGTCCCTTACAGCAGAATACCAAGGGAGTGAAATGAGATGGGTGTGGCTCACTGTGGGTTTCAGCTTTAATTCCAAGTGGCAGCAATAACAATTTTGATAGGGGTGTGCACGTGTCCCTGTTGACCAATTCACTGTCCCCCTTGCCGGGCCATTTTCCACTTGCTCCTACCAACCAGCTTGTATTATACTTTGCTCTCCCCAGACTCTGGACTCGCACAGCTACATCCATGCCAGCGAGATGCACCGCACAGTCTTCACCAACAAGGCGCTGTCGGCCAGGTCCCAGGAGTACACCATCACCAGTGTCTTCCGGCTGGTGGAGAGGGCCGGGCGAAGGAGGCGGGCCATCCTGAAGCGCGATGTCCAGGACAAGGTTGACGAGCCCATCCTGGTCCACCAAACGATCCTCTTCCGGGGCTGTCCGCCGAACTCTGTCCATGATGCGCAGAAGCAGGCCTGCGTGTGCAGCGAGGATGGGAAGGTGTATTCGCACGACACCTTCGAGTGTGTGAAGTTGAGCCCTAGCCCTTCAGATGAGGTATGATTTGATAACGTCATCCACAGGAGTTAAGTTTCCTGTGTAAAATTTTGTGTGTGGTTGATTTACCCAACTTTACAAAACCTAAATTTGCCAGAAGCAAATGTGTTTCAGGCTGACAAAAGTTGCATTTGAAAACCTTGGGAAATGAAATCAAATACAGATGAATGCATGTCATTTTATGCTCGGTTTTACCCTTACTCCAGTGCAATTTTTCAGAGTAGTCCTCGGAAGGGATTTATTTTAATTGTGCAGAAATATACCCAGTCTTTTGCAACTCTTACCAGTGAGAATACGGTGCGACTGATATGCGTCAGTGGAAGGGTAAAACCTCGTATAAAATTGACATCTCCCAACACAAAGCCAAATATCTATTCAATGCAATGCTTCCCCAAGTGACTGTTGCTGGATTCAGTCATTCTGAATGGTGTTGAACATCCAACTTGGAGTTGTGTGCCTGGCCAGTTTTTCCTCCTACATCCCTGGCCTTAGAACTCCTACAATTGTACTTTGGATCTTCCATTTTAATGTCTGTTGCTGTAACTAAAATAGCCAATTTATTTCCAGGAAAAGCAATCACCAGTTGACAGTGCCAAGACTCCAGGAGAAAGTAATGATCCAGGCAACGACTCAAGCCAAGGTCATCATGAGAACAACTCTGCCACACTCAACACCTCAATGCTCGTACCACTCATCTGTATCTTCACTCTCGTTGCCTCATTGATGTGAGGTTCATACAAAGACAGACAAGAATGGTACCCAAAGTAAATTAGTGAAGTGAATCAACTTTTGGCTCTGAACATTTCGGGAAGATTCTTGGAGTGTTTTTGCTTTTCTCTTAATCTGCAAATCCAAACTAGAAAGGTTTTGTAACTTGTACCGAGTGTCGTATGAAGCTGATGCACAAGATAAGGGATTTATTGAAGTCATGAAACCAAGACGACTTGAATAGTTGGAGTACTTGGACCCTTCATCAATAGTATAATTATTGTGTTATTGTGCTGTAGGTAAGTGTGGTAGTTTAAAGTTTACAAGTTGAATTTTTCTCACAGACTACAGTCAACATCAAATACATGTACAGTGTATTTCGTTTCTTTGTGGAAATGTGCAAGTTACTTCTCTTCACTTCATATTTTTAAGGGAAAATGAATTTCTGTGTTGCTAATTTATTTTGGGTACTATAAAAACTATCAAGCATTCCAAACTTGAATGTGTCTGCATAGTAAATGGCAGCAGCAAATGGTGTGCACTCTGTTTATTCAAAACACGTATTTATAGCAAGATGTATTTATCAAAGAATTTATAGTCCATATCTTGTATGTTTAATGTTCCCTTAATGATAAATTCTGTAAGCGGACAGCAATAGCCAGTTTATGAATTTCTATTTTTCACTTGTGTTGCACTTTTGATGTTTTCAAGCAAAAGCCAAAAATATATGCTAAAATGGTCTGTAAGCATTTTGCCACTTTTCCTGTTTTTGATGTTCAGATGTGAAATACGACTGCATTTTCTACCTCATGCATGTCTTTTTTTTTGGTAATTCTGTTCGCCTCAAGAGTGCTAATTGTGCTCGGAAGCACTAGTATAAAATACATTTCAGTGCGGCAGAGTTTGGAGGGCATTCACCCCGCTGCTCAACCTTGGACCGACCATTTCCAGAAATGTTCAAACGGCCGTTAACTGAGAGACCGACTCCACCATACATATTTATTATAGCAAGCTTTGCTATCGTATTCAGAAGTATTAAGATAATACTACAAAAGTCTTATTATAATACATGTGTGCTGGCAGTGGATTCAGAGTACTTCAAAGAAAAGAGCACGAATTGAACCTGACGCATAGGGAACAAAATCTTTGAACATTCCATTGAGGTTAGAGATATCGACTTAATAATATGGTCTATTGAAGGGAATATTTTCTACAGCAGTCTTGCCAAATCTATTGCATACAAGCTGCTGCTCGGACCAAAACTTCAGTCTTGCTGCGAAATTTGGGATCCCTCCGACCTGTAGCTCTATGCTCCATCAAAGCCAAGTTGGAGCTGGAAGATTAGCTGTAGGAAATTACAGCAGGGAATTTTTAGTTGCACATATCTTGCGTCGTATGAAATCTCAAGTAACATCAGTACAGTTACCTCTAAGAACCAACTGCAGCAAATTGTAGAACCAAACTGGGGTGCGGTACAATAACGTTTTCAAACACGTCTATCGGTACTCGCATCCCAAAACAATACTCAAAATGGAACCTATTCGGAGGCGTAGCTAGGAGTTTACTAATGGCCGGGGGCAAAAAGCAGTAAGAGCTCTCGACTTCATCAAACGAAATTTTTACACGAGTTACAGAAAGGTGAAGGAAAGCTCATATTTTACATTAGTCTGGCCGCACTTTGAATGCGGTGTTGCAGCATAGAACCTTAGCTTGTAACAATTGACACCAGTCTGCAATTGCCGCAAGGCCCAACGACGGGTGGTACGTTTTGTTCATAGACTTTTTGAGGAAAAGTAGTGTCACTGGCATGTTGTCGCGCATGGGGGAGGTAATCGATAGAAAGGAAGCCCACCAGATGACTCGACCCTATAAAATTATTACTCGAACCACGGACATGGACGCTTCAACCGAAAACACAGAAATCCAGGATTGAAAATAACCAATTCAATATATCACAAACATCTTCAACACCATTCATGGATTCATTCTTCCCCAAGATTGTTAAATTATGGAATGACCTGTCCAGCATATTATAGAACATACAAGATTTCTAGGGACAATTATTAAAACCACATCCTGACCATATTACGCCCTTGGCTCCTTGCGACATACTAATCCAAGAGGATGTTTCAGGAGGAAAACTACCAGGTACCAATTGCCCAACCCCCTTTCCCACATGCGACAACCAGTGGTGATAATTGTAAGCCTACTGGACGGGACAGAGATACATGTAGTACATGACATTAAGAAATGAAACGTGCTAGCTAGAATGATGTAGCGGGGAGAGGATGGAACTGAAGGGGAAAAGCTTCGTTGGCTACCTCATCCTTCCTTCTGAATCAATTATTTGGCCTTCCACGCTGACACTTCAAATCTATAACAAGAATAAGCCTAAGAAGTTGCAATAGAATCTGTGATATTTACAGGAACTCGCAGCGATTAAAGCATTCTGTTCAAGTTCCACCCAAACCCTTCATGGTGAATGGGCTTCAAGTTGGAGAGAATGCAACGGCAAATGATGAATAATCGCAAAAAAGTGCAAACGCGCAATGAGTTAACCTTACTCCCAACGAGAAATTATTGGTGCATGCATTTCAACTCTTGCGGTTAATTAAAATCTCTACAAGCTAAAAGTTTTCGGTGGATTCAGTTTGCTAGATTTTGCCTTTACAATGGTCTATTGATACGTCGCTAAAATTGAGAGTGAAACACGACTATACCGATCATTTCATCATATGAAGTCTGCCTTTCAAATAAATAAATAAATAGATAAATAAATAAAAAATAAATAAACTTAAAAAAGGCTGAGATGACGGAACACTTCACCTCTGACTTGCTCAGGCCTAATAGGGGAGGATCACAACCCGGACACGATTATATTTCCACTTCCGCTTCGCGCGGCGCCCAATGACAGAACAAATGACTACAATATTGCTCGCGGGCTACGGGGATAGGTGCAGTCATACACTACATGAAGGAGTGCCGTCAAACTTATGATTACGTCTCAGAAAATACAGTCAGTTATGTCATTAATGATTTTTACGTTTTTCCGGTATTCTAAGCCCCTGCAAGACTTTCCTATTTTTTGTTATTTTGTCTTTTCATTCTTATCATTGTTGATTGGGATGCTTGCTTCTTGTATGTGTCACTGAGGGTGGATCGGTCAAGTATGAAAGACTTTGATTTTTGTTTTTATGCTTTCATAATATGCAACACGTGTAAGTTTACAAGTACGTACTATTCACAATATATGACGATTGATTAAAATTTCACACTTTACCATTTAATACGGGTGTTTAACAATAGCGCGCTTCGAAGAGTTTGCAACGCACTGGCAATCATAATGAGCGAAAGTTGTCGACCTAAAGGGTGCAGTCCACTAATTCAAGCAATAATTTCCGCCAGGCTCATTAGCATTAAAAGTGCCCCCACAGTATCTTTCGAAAAAGGGGATTGTTTGGCCCCCAAAATGGTGAGATTGTGTAAATCTTTGCCAGGAACCAAACCCTGGTTCTTTGGG